CTAATGCTTTATCAGAATTTAGACGGAATTTTACTAATGCTTCTAATAGTGTAAATCAAAGAACTGATAATAGTTCCCCAAAGCTAAACCAAAGATCAGATATTGATTCACAACATGTCAGCCATGGATTTGTTGATTTTCCTCCACATGTCAACCAAGGCTTATCTGATAATTCACCACATAAAAAACCACAAGATTTTCAAGGCCACCCTGAAAGCTGGCCAAGAAGACCGGTACAGAATCCTGCTTCCTCCACACAGCAAACTCAACAGAGTAATACTAATTCATCCTCTCGTTTAGTGGGAGTCAGTTGGCAAGAAAGAGAAATGCAAAATTCTTCTTCTAATACTCAACATAAGAATTTGGAGTCTCCATTAGCACACCATGCCAATCCTTCATTCTCGAGGAAAGCAGTTAGTCAGGACGCTAACGCTCAGAGAGAAGTTGAAAGAGGTAGAGAAGTGTTACGTGCAACATCATCGCTAAGTTTGCTTCAGCAAACTCAATCACCACTTAAGCAAATTGTCGTCAGTCAAGAGCAAAAGCAATCCGAACAACCTAGCAAAATCAATTACAATGAGAACGTAAGGCACCTGTCCTCTACAACAATACAAACTTTAACCACTAAACCAGATAATGTTCAAAATCCATCTACGGTGAGGCACAGAACATCAGAAAAGCGCATTCCTTATACCAATGGTTCGCCGCATTCCACACCTCAAAGTGAGTATCCAAGAAGGCACATTGAGAATAATCACATGCTTGTGATTCCACCTAAAACATCACAATCACGAGTTGAGGATGACATTGTCAAGACGAAAGCGGAGTGGAACAGGGCTAGCGCAGCTAAAGAAGATAGCAGAACCATTCAGAAGCAGACTACAGCGACTACAACAGCGGAAGGGCCGGTGAGGGAAGAGTTTCCCGCTGGACTTGACCGAAGTCAATTCATCTACTACAATGGTGACTACTACGCTCCGACTATCCCAGGAATTCGCATATCCAAACCTGACGGAAAATCTTCAAATCCAAATTACCCTTTGATTGAGGGACCACCAGAAGAAATGTTTCGCGAATTTCGAAAACACTCAAAAGAGTTCCAGAAAGTTATTCCATTAGTGAATGGAGCTAGATCTGCTGCAGAAGGCCAGTCAAGAAGCGCGGAAAGGCCTGAACTAGATATCATGGATAAGGCGATTTATATGAAACAGGATGGAACTATAATTAACGCGCCTCCTGTGCGCATTCCCGACAAGAGAACACG